CCTGGGCGTTGTAAAGGGTGAACCTTACAGTAAAAAGAAAATCAAAATGATATTGACTCCACTCCTATAAACACAGCAAATGTGTGTATGCGTGTGAATGTAAAAACTGAATTTTATAAACGAAAAATATTTTTCTAATTTTTAAATCGCTTAAAATACATAAAGAAATTATAGAATTTTTCGAAGTGGTTATAATAACTGTTTCAATTTTTTGCTTTATATTTTCAAATTCTAACCAGGTTGCAAAACCAAGGACGATCAAACCACGCTATGTGGCACCAAGACCAAACATCAGAATTCGTACCGCACCTCCTAAAATACGAACTCCACTTAACCATGAAAACTTATATAAATTGACTATTTGTACCGGTGATGTAGACAAGGCGGGAACAACTGCCGATGTAAGAGACTGGAAAATCTTTGTTAAATAGATATCATTGTTGAGATAGATAGATAGATAGATAGATAGATAGATAGATAGATAGATAGATAGATAATGATATGAAAGCAATACATTTCCTGTATGTATACATAGTAAAAGATATTTGCTTCTCGCAGAAGTTAACGAATCAGATATAAATAACGAAATGAATTCTCTCTCTCTCTCTCTCTCTATATATATATATATATATATATATATATATATATAGAGAGAGAGAGAGAGAAGAAAGAAATAATTAAAATTTTCTATATTACACCATTTAGGTTTATTCTCTTTCTCTCTCTCTCTATATATATATATATATATATATATATATAGAGAGAGAGAGAGAGAGATAAAAACTAAATGTATATAGAAAATTTTATATATATATATATATATATATATAGAGAGAGAGAGAGAGAGAGAGAGAAAGAAAATTAAAATTTTCTATATTACACCATTTAGGTTTATCAGAAATTGTTGGGGTTGCAAAATCTTCTGATGAAGCTAAATAGTGAAATATTTATACGGTTTTTCTATTTGTTCATAATTTTATCATTTCGCCGAGTTTAATTCATATTCTCAATTGCCATATATATTTTCACACACACACACACACACACACACACACACATATATATATATATATATATATATATATATATATATATATATATATATATGTATATAAACTTTATCTTTAGTGGGTACACATCCATCTTTCTTAAAACCTACATGATTAGAGATCAAAAGATCTATTAAATAAGTCTTGCTGTGTGTCTTGCGTTTTATAATCCTTAGACTAAGGATTAATTTATGCACCACCTTATATATATACAGTGGGGGGGACCAAGTATTCGTACACATACAAATTTTTAATTTATTGTATTTCCAACTAATGAATAAACATACTTTTTCATATAATTAACTCTACAAAGATGCATAACTAAATATCCATAGAAAACAAAAAAAAAAGTTGATTTAATAGAAATAAATCTCATTTATCCATTTTAATGGGTGAAAATGTATTCGTACAATGCAAATTTCAGATTTTAAAACTTTTAAATTGCTTTAATAGTCTAGATTATTCTAGTGGAATATTCTAGAATGTTCCAATAATGTTATCAGTTATTTTTAGCCTAAAAATACAAACAGAACATTCTGTAATTGATATTCGTGCAAGAAGGTTATCATCATGTCAAGAGGTAAAGAACTGACAAATTCGCAAAAAGAACTGATTGTTAAGCTGTGGAAAGAAAGTAAAAGTTACAGGAAAATCTCATACAACCTGAATATTCCATTTTCTACCATTAGTTTATTCATTGCAAGATATAAAAAACTCAAAACTGTTGAAAACCAAAGTAAAACAGGTGCTCCACGGAAAATTTCTTAAAGATCTTCGAAGAAATTAATGTGTCAAATTAAACAAAATCCAATGGTTACTCGTCAAGAGTTGCAGGATGATTTGCTTTCATCAGGAATCTGTGTCACTAAACGGACAATAAGCAATAAAATTCATTGGAACAATCTAAAATTACGCTACCCTCGGAAAACCCCACTGCTATTGAAAAAACGCAGAGGTTGAAATTCGTTTGTGAACAAAGGATTAAGAAACATCGTATTAGGAAAGAGTATTATGGACAGACGAAACAAAAATTGAGTTCTTTGGACGTAATTCTAGAAATGATTTATGGAGGAAAGATGGCGATGCCTTCAAACAAAAGAATGCAGAGCCAACAGTGAAATTTGGTGGTGGCAGCATCATGGTTTTGGGGATGGCAATATATCAGTAATAGATGATAAAATGAATCTAACACTTCAGTGTCGATCCTGATTCACGGCAAACGGCAACAAATGTAACCTCTTCGTCGTGGTCAGCCCGGGTGGATCCTGGTTTGATCAATGGAATGATCTCTTCGATCCTGACCTGCTTTACCCCACGTTGTGATTGATTGATTATAAGGAGGCCAAGATCGATTCGTCGCAAGTATCTTCGTGTTGGGCTGTTCCAGGTTGAACGAAGTCGTGCAATAAAATTGGAGAAAAAAAGCAGCACACGAAATATATATAAAATATAATTACTATTTTTATATAGAATACTGCGTACAATGGTTCGTTAGTAATTGTGTTCGCATACAGGTGTTTGTCAAGCCAACCCGTTCCTAAATTGGAACCAACACTTGGATAAGCTAGTAAGTTTTGACTTGCGGAGTTAGCGAAATTTGCTTTACTGATTTGGTAAGTTTGGCTCAAGCCTGAAGTCGGAGGTTCTTGTGTACGGTAGGAGTTGTGAAATCTCTCAGCGATCTCCGCTGCTTTCCTTCTCAGCTCTCAGCTGTCTATTGTCAACTGTCTGAATGGCTTTCGTGCATTCATTTTATGGAACCCAACTAGAAACCGGTGCATGGCAAAATGTAGGTTGTGACACTATTTAGCTATGATAATTGGCTAACCAATTAACCCTAGAAATTAAAACAGGAAAAACTGAAGGCGGAAAGAGGTTATCCCGAAAGATATACCGTTCGATGTTAAAAAGATTTTATTTTATTTACGAAAAAGATACTTTTCACAAAAGACAGTAAACCCGTAGAAAAAGCCATATGTCAGATTTTATCAAATTGATTGATATTGATGTAAAGAAGTGCCTTGCCAAGAGAAATGGGAGAATTCGGAAAGATAAAGAAAGCATTAAGATATCAGGCAGACCACATGGCAGTCATAAAAATTTCGGCCTGAGACGATTGACGATACAGGGTAGGGAGAATCAATATTAATTATCTTTCCAAGATATAATTTTTTTGTTGTTGTTGTTGAGTGCCGGCAAGGAAAAGCAATGTAGTGATTATAAAATTTTGGCATTTGTCTCGATACGGGTGGAGAGGACCGTTATTATTTACTTTACCAAGATGCCGCTTTCAGACGCCGAGACGTTGAGTAGCAATATGGTGATTGTAAAATTTTGGGCATGAGAAAAGATAGAGTGGAAGAATTGTGATTTGGTGAGATGAAGAATTTAATTTCTCAAGAAGCCAAGGGTTCCAGTATAAGCTAACTTCACGAAGGGGTCAGATGGCAAACTTTAACAGTGATTGATGGAATTGATAAAGAGTGCTGGCTAAGTGGATTCTGAATGACCAAAAGATATGATATATTTTAAGTGGCAATATGGGATTCGTAAAAATTTTTGCCGATGGAAAAAAGGAGAATTTTGTAAACGAAAATTCTGGATTATAATTTTAAGGAAGCCAGTTTAGTTACACCCGCACGACCGGGATGCCATTGGTCGAGTGGTAGCAATGGTGATACGCGGAGGTGAATGGATGAGAAGGACGGAGAAGTTATTAACGCCCACTGAAGGGATTGGTATGAGATAATGTGAGAGAGGAAGAGTTTAGAAGGATAGCTCTCCTCTGACCTCCCCTCACGGACGAGGGAGACCCCCCCCAAAAAAAATGGAAAGTGATTAATTTTCCAAAAATGGGAAGTTATTAATTTTCCTGGCATGACAACAAATAGATTTCTTGTTGGGAATCGAGATTTACCGAGAATCCCAGGCCGCGTCTGGCTCCACACCAAGTTTTGGTCGGTACCCAAATAAATGAATGTCCTCGGGCCGTTCGACAGTCGAGTCAGCAGTTGGAGTTGAGTCAGTTAGACAGTTCAGTTCGAGTAGCGGCAACCAGAGTGTTGCCTCGCAGAAGCTGACCGAGAGATTCCGCGACCCCCGACTTTGCCTATCCTACCAATAGCGAGTTATACTGAGGAACAAAGCCAAGTCAGTTGACTTAAGATACCAAAACTTGCTTGAAACGTAAAAGTGTCACATTCCGTAGAAAAACGGGCTGGGAGAGAAACACACTCCTGTATATAACAGACGGATAAAGTTAATTTCTTTCTTAACATACTTGAACCTCTCGAGTTTTTTTGTTTTATTTGATTCTTTTTCGTTACTCTTGTGCGATATCACCTTCAGTCTGGACTCAGCTTATACTACGGCCCGATGCCTGATTGATCTCGTCTACCTAAGATCAAAATCACAACGTGGGTCGGTTAGACTTGAGATTGAAGCAGTTACTTCAGTAACCAGACGTTGGAAGTGAGCTGGGAACGACAGAGCTGGTATCAAACCGGTACAGCTGGTGTGAAGCCGTTAACATCGACGACCAGAATTCGCCCCTGGACGGGCCAGTGTCACATATTGGTATCCTGACAAAGGGATTCCGCCGAGTATCGACGACTACCGATCGACCGGGACACAGGCTGGTGGCAGCGACTAAGAGTCAACCCCAAAACGCCGGTGGAAGAAACATTACAGCTTCGCGCTGCGACTGGGAGTTGACCACGGGCCGACAGCTCAGTGTCACAGGTTGGGTTTCGCTGAATCCCCTGATTTCCAGCAAAATTCCATTGTTTTTGGTCCTGAGAAAATAAATTATTTCATAATTTTGGAGGAATTCTCCTTGCCTCATGGGAGATGGGTGCAGGCATCGCTCCCCCTGGTTACTTCTACTTTCTCTTATTACCATCTTCCACCAGTGCTTTCCAATAGGCGTTGATAGCTCTTTCCACCTCTTTAATGTCTCGTCTGTGCCTGCAGGGAGCCGCTCCTGCTTCCTTGATCGCCCTTCTGCGCCTGTCAACTCCAGCATTTGGTCGGAGATTAATTTTTTAAAATTATGGTTTCAAATGCTATCATGGGCACAAAAATTGGCTTTCTCGCCTTTGACCCAAGAGACACTTTCCCAGGGCAAATTTTGCAACTCACATTATGGTAACAATTCGTTCAGCCAAAGGTCAGCATTTTGCAGGTGTTCAATTTATTGTTTTCCATCCTGACATCTGGAAAAATGAATTCATTTGGTTTAACCTAATTCCCCTCGTGTCGATCCAGGCATTGTTTGCCGAAGATTGTCAACACTTGGCCTGTTCGCACAAACCAAGCATTGCTTTCAGCCGGTCATCTGGTCTATTGTATATATCTCGATTCTCTGGGAGCCACTTATTATCAATCTATCGTTCTTGATATTTTTTATCCCTTTTCATGCAAAGTAATTCATCATTATTTCGTTTTCGTTGATATTCGTTATTATTATTATTATTATTATTATTATTATTAATTACCAGCAACCCAAATAGTGTTACATGAATGCTGCAGAATATGAAAATATTTTGGAAGCAAATTTAATTATTTCGATTGAAAATCTTAAACTTCCTTCTGACTGGATCTTCCAACAAGATAATGATCCGAAGCACATTGCAAAATCTACGAAGAAATGGCTTGAAGAAAATAATGTAAATATTCTGAAATGGCCAAGTCAGTACCCAGATTTAAATCCAATCTAGAATCTGTGGAGTTATTTTGAAAATTCAAATCCAATCGAGAGCTCCAACAAACATCCCGGATCTGAAGACGATATGCGAAGAAGAATGGAACAAAATACCAACTAAAATTTGCAAATCATTTCTTGAGAACTACAAAAACAGGTTGGTTGCTGTAGAAGTGAATAATGGCTATTCTATAAAGTATTAAATGAAGATTAAATATTCAGCTTTGTAATGTACGAATACTTTTTTCACCCATTAAAATGCATAAATGGGAATTATTTCTATTAAATCAAAAAAATCAGTTTTCTATGCATATTTAGTTATTATGCATCTGTGTGCAGTTAATTATATGAAAAGTAATTTTAAAAAAGACTGGATAAAAGATCATCTGCTATTAATAATGATATCTAGTGACGAAAGGAAAATTGGACTACATTCTGATGCAAGAAAGCCTTACATAGAGTAAACCAGAGCAGTACATAAATCATTTTGCACACTGTTTCGTTCGAACCTAAAAATGATACATTTACAACGATGGAAAGGAAGAAAAACAAACAAACTTATACTACCCAAATCAAAAGAAACCGACTTGAGGAGGTAGAGCTGACGGGTCAAGAGGGTAGCTGCTGGAAGAACCTATGTCTCCTAACAGGTCTCTTAAACAAAGAGATCGTCTAGGATAGTTGCAGGAGATTCCGAGATTTCTGGAGGCTATGGTTAAAGCCGATTGCGATTTCATTGAATAAATTTATTTTTTAATATTTCAAGATATTTTTATTCATTAGTTGGAAAATACAATTAAAAATTTGTATGTGTATGAATATTCATCTCCCTCTACTGTATCTATATGCAGGGTGCGATGGATAAATTACGCAAAAATGAAAATAACACTGACATCTCATTTTAACAGATATATTTACCAAAATTACACAAAAATATCTTGAGATACTAAAAAGTAAATTTATTGAAATGTCCATCGGCTTCAACCACAGCCTCCAGACGACTTCGGAATCTCCTGCAACTATTCTAGACGAACTCTTTGTTTAAGTTGGTGAATGCTGCCATAAGCCTTACCTTCAGTTCATCTTTGGTGTTACAAGGAGTTTTGTTGATCTATCGCTCAATTGTGCCCCAGATATAATAATCAAAGGGGTTGCAGTCTAGGGAGTTAGGTGATCAGATATAAGGGGTGATGTGGTCGTAAAAATTGTCTAACAGCCATGACTGGGTTTTCCAGCTTGTGTGGTATGGTGCAGAGTCCTGTTGCCAGACATAGTTTCTTCCAGCAGCCACCCTCTTGACCCAGGTCAGCTTTACCTATTCAAGGTTTTTTTTAAGTTGGTTTCTTTTGATTTTGGGTGGTATAAGTTTGTTTTTCTTTTCCATCGTTGTAAAAGATAGAATTTCTCAGTTCAAACAAAACGGAGTGTAAAATGATTTCTGTACTGTTCTGGGTTACTCTGTGTAAAGCTTACTTGCATCAGAATGTAGTCCAATTTTCCTTTCGTCACAAGATATCATTATTCATTATTAATAGCAGATGATTTTTATCCAGTCTTTTTATTAAATCGAAGCTAGAAACTTGATAAAACTCAGTAGAATACCAAACCATGCCATACATCAAGTGCAACAAACAAGTAGTTCACTAAAGACATTGCAATGTTCTCGCACAAAATTGGTTTGCTTAAAGCAATGACCTGTTTTCCACGACGAGTCGAGACTGTATTATACGTGTCATTGAGTGAAATACTAAGTATTGATTATGATTTCTGCTGTTCCTAAATATATAAAAAAAAATTTGAATGTTTGTAACCTTTATAGGACCTATTTTCACCATTACTATGCATCTGTGTCTGCCCATTGGACCATGTCATTATGAATATGACAACTTGCACTCTAGTTTCAAATAGCAATTGATACTATTCTTGAATGCAAATTATTAAATACTTAGAGTTTATTAGGAAAAATTAAACTTATTGACCTTTTAACAAGCTGGCTTGTTTCTTTTGCTTGTCACTGTGTATTTTATGTCGATGACATTGATAAACACGCCAAGCACCGTAATTATCCCTTCATAATACGCACTCGTGTATAATAATTTCTCATAATTTTGAGTTACGACATATCTCGATACGCTGATTTTTCTTTAATTTGTAGCAGCTACATATTTTTAACATTTGTTCAACAGTTTACCAGCATTTATATAATTGACATCAATGTTTTTGAACACAATATTTACATAGGATTGAGAGCAAACACACAGACATGTTCGGACAAAAATGCAAAAAACTTGTGACGAAAATAAGCTTACACTGGGCGAAACAAAAATTATAAACGCATTCCAGTGGCTTGTGGCTATTTCTCTTGTAAAACATCCTTGAAACCATGATAGAAAAGTCATTAAAAATACTGCATTAAGAATGAACTAGACGACAGTGTAGATGGCACTCTTTTTCAGGGAGAACAAAGCAACTGCCATAAATATAATAAATAAATATATATAAAATATATAGTCCTGAATATGGTGATGCGCATGGCCGGAAAAATGGGATCTCGTTATGGTATATAATACTCACCTCTCCTTTTAGGCTTAGAAGTTTAGAAATAAGCGCATATAATACGTGAATAATTATGACAATATAACTATATTTATTTCAAAGAAAAAATGAAGAAAGAAAGAAAAAGTGTATATTGCCCTGTGATTTTTTTTTTTTTTTTTAGTTTTGCTAACATAATAGCAATTCACATTAAATAGCAGGTGACTATCACTAAGGGTTAAATTAACAATAAGCCACATTAAACTCCTTCATAAAATTCAACAATGCTAAAGTTTGAATTGCATCAATCATTTTTTAATCTCTCTTATCCCTTTACGGGGGTCACTGGTACTCCTGTAATCATAGGTTATATTTCCAATTTCATATTTGTTAGTTAATTTCTGTTATTTATATATTTATTATGATTATCGTTTTTTTAAGGTGTATATCGCCCTCGAAGGAACTAATGATTTTTTGCCTCTCACAAGACTACAAAAAGGTTCTGGTTCTATCAAATTCTCTTTCCGAAGAAATTCGAAAGAAATATTTTATGTGCGCGGACCATTCCTCGGTGAACTGAAGTCTTTGGTCGTTGAAGTAAGTAACAAAGAATATTTAACCCTTTACATACTCTAAACCGCTGTCAGTCTCATGGTATTGATAAAAGGGAATGTCACGCGACCTTTAATGAAGCATACACGGCGAAGTATAATTCAGGTATGTATAACAGTTGTGGCGTAGTTGAAGGTCATTGTCACTTGATAATCTGCAATGATGACGCACAATGTGTCTCTTCAAAAACTTTAAGTCGAACTTTTATATATTTATCTTTCTCTTTATATACCGGGTGTAACAGCAAAATTGTTCAAATCGTGTAACAGTATGGGATAATTGTCCATCCCACAAAATGTTTAATATCTAAAAACTCCACTAAACTAATTGAGTTTAGCCATCTTGACACAATTTGTCGTAAGAATCACTGAAATACCCTTGATTCAGCTAGAAAAAGAAGAGGTTAAAATCATTTTGTGTCAGTTTCACTATGTCTTTCCAAATGAGCAATGGTAAGCGGAAAAAGATCATTCAGGCCTTCAGTAATGGTACCAACATTCATACTCTGGATTGCATCTTCAAAGTCCATTCAAGAGAACGTTGAATAAGTTTTAAAAAAAAGAGGGAACAGTAGTGAGGAAAACTGAATCGGGAGATCACAACAGCAAGAGGGGTCATAATTTCAACTTAGAGCTAAATACATTCTTATTGTTCAAAGTAGTGTCCAACAGAGTTATAAAAACCTCGGAGAATTTCAGTAAGATACCTTTAATCATTTCTAAGATACAAAGGTTCAAAGCTTAATCTAAAAATTGCACAATTTTGTTGTAACATTATTTGGACAATTTTGCTGTTATAGCCGCATTGCTTTTAAATCTCTGAAGATTAAGCTGGACTGGAAAGTAAGAAGCCGGGGGAGAGTGCCACAGGCGAGAAGTACGAGAAAATAAACTGTTAGCATAGAACTTACGGTTACATCTAGCCATTTCAATTGTAAAATGATGAGACTTTGATGCCACTGTAGTACTGCGCTTAAATTCATAAATTCTAGGTGTCATAAAGGAAAATTCATCAGAACAGTTAACATGAATGTATTTATCAAAAAGGCACAAGGAAGCTACATTGCTCGGGTGAAAAGTGACTGAGCCAAAATCCCAAGTCGGGATCAATGAGATTGCAAATTGTCTTTGGTATTTTATCAGGTATCTACAAATATATAGCAGGAGCACCAGGTCATATATGGCAGCAATATTCGAAGCATGGATGAATGGTAGACATATAAATTCGGATAAGAAAAATTGTTTAGCATGACACAGTGAACCAACCAAGCAATTAATTCATTATAATCTTTCCACTTCTTGTCAGCCGAGAATGTTTGCCTGAGAAAACGTAACGAATCACTCTCCTGCAGGTCAGCATCAGCTATGCTAATTAATAAGCCATTCAAATTAATAAGCCATTCCCTGTCCCATTTAACAGCAGATTTTAGATCATTTTGAGGTCAGATGTCAATTTGACCTTATTGAACAGATCAGACAGACCATTAAGACATGTGTAAATAGTTGTAACGTGATGCCGTCAGAAAGGCCATTGATGAAAATTAGGAACAACGTAGGTCCAAGAATAGAGCCCTGAGGACGCCTGCATTAATGCAAAAAGATCTAAAAGTGCGGCCGTTCAAGATAACTTTAATTTCACGATTTGATTTGAAAGACTGAATAGTCCAAAAATACCACAAGCTTTCAACTTGTTAAGAAGACGAGTATGCAAAACCCTGTCAGATGTCGTCGAGATATAGATCATCACTTCTACCAAAGATTAAAATGTTTGTTCTGACTAACTTAATATTCGTAAGTTATTTTTATCCCACCGTTCCAGCAGCAGTAATGAGATGTCACTTTCTCTAGATTGGAGGTTTGAATCAGGTCAGCATTCGTCTGTTACTTTATTTTTCTTTTGTTTGCTTTATCCCAATAGAATTTACGGACAGAGAAATAAAGAAACATTGAGAAATACTTATTATTAGATATGAGGATGATGATGTATGATGTATGCTGTCTGTTTAAGGTTGTGATAATTTCATCTTTTCTTTGATGTTTCTGACAAGATTTAGAATACTCTTTTTCAAGTTGGCAGTCCATCCTGACTTAGATGACTCGCGTATCAATTTTGCTCTTCTAATTTATCCCCCATTCAATCTGACCGTCTGGCGTACTAATATACTTACAAACGTACATGTATGTTGTGTGTGTGTATGTTTCTCTTTCTTGTCGTGGTAAATCTTCTCTGATGTTTCTGGTTTGTTGGTTTGTTGATTGGTTGGTCGCAACTTTCATTGGATATATGTAGGTATTATTCATTTTCCTTCACTAATAGTTTCCAGACAATAATCCAATACCGAAAATTGAAAAAAATTAACCCAAATCCAAAACAAATACCTTTGTTTGTTTTTTGTTGTTTTTTTGTTTGTTTTTTTTTTGTTTTTTTTTTTTCAGTATAATAAATTCGATTTCCGATGCATCATTACACCAAATTCAGACCATTTGTTAAATCGATTTGTATTACATGGCTTAATCGGCGACAACTCAAACAAATTTGTTATCCTTTGCTTGCATCTATCCATAAAGAATTTAGAGTTTCTTTTTAGCTATCTTATTATATATGAAATTAAGTGGGAAACAAACTAAGTAAATCTCTCTTTTGAGAATACCACGTTAACCACAGGCCTATTGCGACTGTTAATCAGCGAGAGAACATGAACTTGAGCTTGTTTCTTGCAGCATTTTTCAATGCTTGATTCTGTTCAGCTAGATATCCATCAGAGTGTTTAAGAAGTAGAAAAATAAGCCATAACACCATTAAACTTCTCACAGTGCGATTATCGATTACTTATATTTGCTAGCAGAACACACACCTATTTACACAGGTATATATCCTCAATTTATTTTAAGACATTTTTTATGTTTATACGTTCTGTTTATAGATACAAATATTTAAGTAAATGCTCTGTTTATAATAAACAGTATTAACGACATTTACCGGTACATTTGTAGAGGACCGTGTGGGTTTGAGTGTTGTTGAATTAGTAATACGTGCGTTTATTTCCTGCTAGAAAGTCTAACTACAAGAATATGGCGGACACAAGTTGAGTCCAATCGATAAGGTAAAGAAAACAAACCAGACCGATATATAGAAAAATATTCATAGAAAATATGCGTCCTCCTATATGGAACCGTCAAATCGCCTGACGTCCTTTACCGATTTAGCCACAGAGTAGCGTTTCGGTTAGGAAGGTCTGATTTTACTGTTTTTAAGCTACAATTCTCCATGATTTTCTCTCGTACATTCGTATCTGCTCGATGCGTATCCAAATGTAAACAAATGACGTCACACATTATGAAATGGACAAAATCCGACATTCAGGCTCTATGACGGTTCCTTATAAGATACAGGTTCGATTCCAGTAGGAGGACGCATATTTTCTATGAAAATTTCTCGGACATTCAGGCCGGTAGATGTCATTAATACTGTTTATTATAAACAGAGCATTTACTTAAATATTTGTATCTATAAAAAGAACCTATAAACATAAAAAATGTGTTAAAATAGTTGTCGGGCTTTGCCTATTCCATAATCCTCAATTTAGTTTAGCTAACTATAAATAAGCTACTGATCCAGTGTGGATGAAACACATTGGCAAGATTAGCATGATAGCCCACGCTTTACACATAATGTGCCCTTGCTCACACACCCACACACACATGCGCGCACACACACACACACACACATGCACACACACAGATATACTATTAATCGGGCATGATTTCCGCCAGGGAAAAAGAGGGGCGTCACGAAAGAGCCATAGGGATTACTTAATTTAAAGACCCTCGTCTCCTATGGTATCAACTACTTCATGTGGGTAACAGAGGTTATTGATGAGTCTTCTTGCCGCCACAGGAATTTCCAGACGAGCGCCCTTACTAAATCAATCTACACAATACAATTGGGGAAGCACCGCCGTAAAGTTGGCGACACTTCCAGCCACCAATCACGCTTCATCTCACTACGGAAAAAACCTGTCCCAAATTTCATGCGATCTGCAGTTTATTAGATTTGAAATTTTTAAAATTCTGTATTAATTTCAGCATTTGGTGATATTATTATTAAGGGAAAACTTTATTTACTAATCTTAAATGTAAAAGCTTAATACAAATCATCAAAAAATAATATTTTTAAAAGAATTTTCGAATACATACACGACATTATCAGAAAATAAGAACGATAGTAAATTTAAACCAACATTTCTAAAATTCAATAAAACATTAGATTACGGAGCATATTTCCTAAATTTTAAGATTACCGAATAATTAAAAATTATATAAAAAAGACGCTCGCATTATTTTCTTTAATTATATTTTACGAAATTATGCTTTAGTCTCGGTAGAACAACATTAGATCTGTCATCATGCTGTCAACATATCAATACAGCTACTGTCAGGTTAAAATCACAGCTACTGTTGGGTTAAAAATGCATTTCTGCGATATTTAAAACTTAAAGTAAATAACATTTGTTTAAAATCAGATTATATTTTTTATTATATTAATTATACTTTAAAACAGCTAATATTCCTTAAATAGAGTTTCAGAAAAGTATATTTTATTTTTGGAAGATTTTTTTTTACTCAGCTATTTTAATTCTTCTTCCAATCAATTTAAATTAGTTTTTGAAATACAGCAAAATATTTTGCTTATTGGAAATATTACATTTAATCTATTAACTTGAAATTAAAGCTAAAATAAAAGCTTCAAGAAGGATATTTCATTTAAAAAAATATATATATTTTTTTAAACCTTAGGCATCGCGTTTTTCGTGAAGGTCCCTAAACTTTTTTGAGCTTTTGGGGGGCTTTCGGCTATAACATATTAAAACATCATGAATTAATTTGTTGAACCTGTATCAGTAAATCATTATTATCTCCAAAAACTTGGGTACAAAGGGGTTTATTTTGAAGTGGTCTATGGACGCTATTGCAGCATTTCCGACCAGGCTTCGTAAACGCACACACACGAGTAATTTTGTGTCAGCCTTCATTACATTTAATACAATGTTATTATCATTGGATATTTTTTTAAATAATAGCATAATCTATGTATCTAAGATGAGACAGAAATGACTACGAGATCTGCCTTTTCTCAAAGTTAAAATCGCCGTTCAAAGGGAGGAGATTTTCAGACCATAGACGAAATTAAGGAGGACGAGGTTAGGCAATAGATAGATAGATAGATAGATAGATAGATAGATAGATAGATAGATACCGATTCAGTATCCTCGCAGACACCAACATCGTCTTCTTCAAATTTCCAATTTATGCAATCTTGAATCTAGCATTCCTCTCAAGGTTCCAAGTATATCTATCATCAGTATTACGGCAAGCTTTATTTTGAACATTTATTTATGTCTGAATTTCTAGGATGAGGAGTTTTCATTATTTTCACTATTTATATCTGGTCTATTGTTCTCAACTTTGTTGTTATCACAACATTTCGGCCGTTGTGTCTTCCAACCTTCTTCAGGTGTATATTGATTTGTTTAACTTACAGGGAATTCTGAACTGAATGTTATATTTAATCTACAAGCGTAGACTGTTATCGTTCCACTGCTCATGGCCATGTCCTACTGGACTAAGGTCTAGTGAATTAAAGCGTTGGCTCGTGTGTTTGGTGACCTAGTGGTTATGTCGGGTAGTGTGTACTTGGACTCAATGGAAACAGACTGGCAAATACTAAAAAGATAAGGACTAGACGAGATATCCCTATGCATGGGCAGTGGAACGAATAGAGTTTACCACAGTAGATTAAATAAATAGTTCAGTTCAGAATTCCTTGTATGCTACTCAGATCGGTATACACCTGAGGAAGGCCGAAGGGCACAACGGCCGAAACGTTGTGATAATAGCAACAAAGATTAGCACAGTAGTTCAAATATAAATAGTACAATAATTTGTTTATTTATTTTCATTTGAAAGAATTCGTGGCATTTTTTCAGTTTTGTATTTTGATTTTGATTTCTTTATTTTGTCTTGACTCTGTGGTACTTGAACACATCTCCAATCTGGCAAGTTCCCTTTTCCTTTTTTATGCTCATCTGATCCAATCTTTTCGCTAGATGCTTGGTTAAAATCGAAACGTATTTATACATCATTAAATTTATTACATATTTCATGCCATGATTTTTATTCCATGCTGCTCAGCACTCAGGCCTGGAAGATGTCCACAGCTGGTTCCTCGATTCTGTTGACGTTTTTGAAGTATACACAAAGCGCAGCTGGATATTCAAATGTGATCAGTGGTTATCGCTTCGTTGGGGTAAACGACGTCTCCGTTTGCAGCTAAATTCAAGCTCAAGCTCACACAAAATGGCTTCATTCTCTAAAGGTAAAAGCATAATTGCAAATAAAAAGTGATCAATTAAATTTCAGGAAAGAATGCGATATAGGATTGTTTGAACTGCTAGGTAAGCTCGCTTTATTTGAGAAAGATATTAGAATAATCTCAAAATAATACTGAAAGCAAACCGCCTCCATACGGATAGAAAATGAATTCAGTAAATACACAAAAATAAAAATGGGCGTGAGACAAGGCTGTGTCTTCTCACTGGACTTTTTCAAACTTTACAGTAGATTGACCTTGCGAGAATTAGAAGTTCACCCAGTCTTCTTTACTGGTGGCCACAACCTTAACAACATAAGCTATGCAGATGAACCAGTGTTTGATAGCAGGTGCAGAAAGGTAACTACAGGAACTCCTCGAGTTTTAAAAAATGTGTGAATAAAGGACTACACATCAAAGAAAATAATACAGAATGTATGGTTGTTAGCAAAATGGACGGTCCATGATGTGAACTACGAATTGGAGACACCAACATAAGGCATGTACAAAAATTTGAATACTAGGAAGTGTTTTAAGAGAGTACAGAAAATGCAACACTGAAACCTGACGGCGCATTGGAAAAGCGAAAATGCCTTCCAAATGCAAACAGGAAAATCTTGTTAGAAACAAAGTAAACAGCACTGAACTGTTATGTAATACCGGTTTTCCTATATGGCATTGAATGCTAGACAATCTTTTCACAGATACTCACAAAGAGACTTGAGGCAAATGCAATGTGGTCCTACAAAAGGATGCTGAGAATCCTATAGGCTGCACATGTTAGTATCGAGTGATGGTTTATCACTGATCTCAATTAGGTTCGTTTCAGAAGTGGCCGGACATTTGGCCGAGAGACATTTGGCCGAGAGACATTTGGCCGAGAGACATTTGGCCGTTTCAGAATTCCATCATTTATCGACCATAATAGCCCATCTCGCTGATTTGAAGCATAATACTTTGTAATGTATCGAGCCAGAGGTGGACACCAACCGAAAATATCTGATATTCACCCCAGTACTGTATCGGTTCTTAGCATGCATAGTAACTAATCTGGATAATGAGACATGAATGTCCGCAACATTTTGGCCATGTGAATCTAGCGTGATTCTCGGGATAACTCTAACAAATAGAAATAAGTCAATATGGATCAGAGATGTTATATGAGGGATTAAACATTACACACACACACACACACACACACATATATATATATATATATATATATATATATATATATATATATAAAACATTTACTTTTCTTTACTTGGAGTCTCGCATATTCTGAAGTCCACTTAGCAAGCGACAAATATTTTTATGCATCTTCATATTTAATATTTTTCTTAAGCTATTTTTTTCTTAAAAAATATGAATATGAAAATAAATCAAGATAATTGTTTTGTCTTCTGATGAGTGGATTTCCGAATCTAACCCCGAGAAAGGATAGGTAAAAATCATATATATATATATATATATATATATATATATATATTTGTGTGTGTGTGTGTGTGTGTGTGTGTGTGTGTGTGTGTGTGTGTGTGTGGTTGATTTTTGTTTAGTGGCATAACCACCTCTATGAATTATTTAATGCCTAAATCTAAATATTTTGAAGACAATTATATGGCTTCAGCTAAATATATTTTGAACGCAATTGTATACCATCAATTCCAGATAAAATGTCTTGTGCATTTTACTATAAAATGGTCATTTTGGCCATTTTGCTTTAAAATTCTATCGTTGGTAATTTAATATAGATATGTATTGTTGGTATTTTTTTATATAAAAATGTATTACTGGTATTTTTACTATAAAAATGTATTTTTATACATTCATAGTGTTTTGATTATTGTTTGCCCATGACGAGGACCTGGGAACAACAGCAATTAAGAGATGGTTCCACGATCCTCAAAATCTCCAGTTTCCCGATTAGAGGCCTTGCTGCCAAATGTAGTTTATCACCATGTCCAGGACTAGTGTATGTATAGAGATCGGTTCATAAGTAGCTTTGGCATTAAAAAAAAGACTGAATGATTCTATCTCTAGTAAAATCTATTAAAGGATAATCCTCGATCAAGAAATGTATAAAAATCAATGAGTTATATTCGGAAAAACAATGCTCTATTTTTCTAATGTGTCCGTATGCATGAATTTTTTTTATATCAGTATTCCATCTTTGAAAATGGTAAATATTTACGTGCCATTAGATTGAATAGGTAGTTTTACAAATCTATTTTTTGTCAGTAATTGTTGCTTTAATACACTGACAATCTTTTGTTTTTGATTTTTATGCATGGCATAAACCGTAAGTTCTGAAAGTTTTCCTTGATATTCTTCTTATAGATTTAAGTTCTACAGATTTCAAAACCTTCCATTTTTCTCAGGGCTCTTCAACATTATGCGATGCTCATAATAGTTGCACTGATCACTTTTACGTTAGACAAATTTTACAGCTCTTTGGCTCTTTCTGTTTTCCAGTTTTTTTAACTCATTTTTCGTTTTTGTGATTGTTGGAACAATTGCATCTGACAGATCATCTTAATTTTCTTTACAATAATTAGATATGTTCATCTGGACAAGATTGGGTGATGGTTTGAAACTCAAACTCTCATCTATTATTTTGGGCCGCTTCTGTTTGAATGTATTGGTCGCATACCCAATTTTCTGTGGTTCACTTTTCATACTAATTTTGTAATTCATTATTATTATTATTATTGAGACAGAGAGAAAGAGAAGCATGCTTAAAATGACGGTGAGATATAAATATACGAGGCCCAATATACTTATCATGACAGCCAGTTAGACAAATGTATACCAAATAAATGATTCACAGCCAAAAGTGAACGGTATGGTGATAGGTTTTGATTATAAAAAAAAACAGCGCATAACCTTGTAGAGGGGACCCAATTAGAAATACTTTCAGGTCGGGTAGCTAAATTTTTTAAGATAATTTCCGATTGAAGGTGTTCCCGAGTATCTAGGTGTAACTCTCAAATCGCCTTGGCTGCCTCATCTGTCAAACGTCAAAAAAAGAACCAACCTTCTCGACACCTAGTTATGATGATGCCCCATTACCTTCCACTCATGATCAGAGATGCACAGAGCGTCATCTCCTAGGGTACATACCCAACTCTTTATAGCCATTCAACTGACAAGCAAATGCGTAGTACTGAACGGAATATTTAGTGTAGACTAACTTAATTCATCAAGACAAATCATGTATATGTCTAACGTAATAAACCATGCTTGTTGCAGCTCTGTCCTGTCTCTCCGGTGGTTCTGGCCAAAAAGTAAACCACCAGGTCCTCCCCCGGTGAACTGAAGGAACCACCACTATCCGCCACGTTGTGGATTTTTGATCCGAACAGCAGTATTTCGATCCCTCAGAACGATCCGGAGGTAGGATGAATTAAATGGCTGGGTATTACGCCGAAAGGAACTCACTATTCATGCAAAAAAAAAAGTTTCTAATCGTAGCCGCAAAGACATGAAAAGGAAAAAATAAGCAACTCTTTCGGTTCCTGTACAAAGAGCCCTTTTTAGGCCACTGTTTTTATGTCACTACCGAAGAATTTACACGAGTACAAAATGTCGTAACGAGGTTCACTCGTTTGGAGTCGGAAGTGACAGAGAGAGACTAGGAAAATTTCTGCCTAATCAATTTCGGCTGATCTAAGGGAAGTAATTCGGGGATCTTCATCGGAGCGTGTAATTATAGCAGTTTGGTTTCTCAGCTTTGTTGGCAAAATTAACTGGTTTCATACAGGGTCTGTTTCTATTTCTGGGTTCGGATCGGACCTCTTGGACGCGTGACAACCAACCAACCAGACTAGCAAATTCCAACAAGCCGTCTCTTCCGCGGTCTGCCGCGTTGCGATCTCCGATCTGACTAATTCAAGCGTGCGCGCAGCTTATATAGAGAGAGGCGGAGCTAAACCATCTTTAGGCACCGCCCCCGAATTTTAATATGCAACTCGCCTTTGACCACCATGCAAGTTTTTCCGGTCCCCGAAACTCCGCGGGAAGCTAGTTTTCAAGAGGTACTAAAATCGAATTCGGACCTCCTGCTGGGTCTTCTGCAGACAACGTATACTTAAGTTTTGCCAAAACCACTTATCCCGTCTGGTTGAATTCCGCCATTCAGACCACCCAAAAATCCAATTCGCCATTTATCATAAACTTTACTTTAACGAATCCGTCTCTTAATCACTCTGGAATTATTACATTTAATTAACTAATAAATCAACCCCAGAAACAATTATTAAGAGAAAAAAACAAGAGAAAGAAAAATAAATTTATTTCTGGAATTACTCCGGAATCCCTTCTACCCAAGTAATTAGCACCTTCATCCTAATTCTTTAGCACTGTTGATTACTAAATCCACCTCGGGGTGGGGTGGGGGTCTCTCTCTCTATGTCACATATGTTAACACCTCCAATCAATTAAGATCAAGAACCTGACAGCCATGCTTGATGTAGGCTATTATTATTATTATTATCCGGAAACGTTTTTATGCTATCTTTCAGAATATCGAATTACTGTGGAAACTGGCAACTGTCGAATGGCGGGAACAAATGCGAATGTCTACATTACTCTATACGGACGCCAGACACACAGTGACAAAATCCATTTGGACAACAGACAACATAAATGCTTCCAGCGAGGTGACATCAATACATTTGTTGTTAGAACCAATCAACTGCTGGAAGAACTGAAGAAAATAAGGTAGAAATCGATGTTTTGAGACGAATATATATATATATATTCGGATGATAAATTATATAAAAACTGTCCGAATGCTTTTTTTTTATCCGAGCGCTTTCGGCTATACATTTTCAAGGATTAACTGTTAAAATAAGAAATAGTTTGTTGTGTTTATGTTTCATAAAATGTTTTCATTTTTTCAGAACACGGTCAAGATATTATGTCTATGTTCAAAGTTAATATTATTAAGTGTTGGTTTTTTGTTCTTACTAATAAGGCTTCCATTATTTTTAGCCTTTTTTGCATGTAGATGATGCTATTATATTAGTGTTTTCAACAAGTATGTTACGAATAGTGTCCGGTAGGTCTCCATGAATATTTAAAGGAGATCTAATTGAGCTATGGTCAGAAAAGGGTAGAGTGAGTCTTCGTGTCAAACATGTTGTAGTGCGGCCTATATAATTACTTACGAATTTTGATTAATAAGGAATACAATTCCTTAATGGGCATTTAAATTCGTAAATAATATTTGCCCTATTTAATTTTGTTCTAGGAGGTGAATTATTATTTTTAACTATAAGTTTAGAGGTTTTAAATTTTTTGTAATAAATAATTAATCTAATTTTTTTGCTATTGTCAACTGGTGTTATGCATTTTTTTAATAATGTTCTTAATTCTGCATTCATCCTGTTTATAATTTTCGTTCATCTGATTTTTATAAAAGATATTAATGTTATTGTTTATGATCCTATTCTCGCCGTTGCTATTAGCTACTTTAGACAGAAAACGCCTAATGTGGAAATTCAACAATTCATTAGGAAATGCGTTATTAATCAGCGTTTGCTTTACATTGTTTAATTCTTTAAAGAAAAGCGTGCGAGAGGAGGAGTTCTCGTGTGCTCTCGTGAGGAATTTTTTAATAACACCTATTTTATATCTAAGAGGGCATTCACTAGAGAAATTAAGATGGTAAGAGTCTTTACTAGTTGTTTTTTATAAACAGAAGTTTTAAAAGTATTATTACTAAAATCGACGAGAACATCTAAGAAATGAAATGTTTATTTTTTTCACTAAGTTCATAAGTAAAATTTAGGACGGAATTTTGTTGAAATGTAGCTTTCAGATTTTCTATTTCTTCCTTCTTTTCAGCTAAAATAAATATATCGACTACATAACGAACATATATTTCAGGTTTAATAACTTTAGTAAAAACCATGTTTTCAACATAGGACATATAATACTTGGAGAAGCACGGCCCATGAGGGTTTCCCATACTTACTCCATCAGTTTGTGTGTAAATAATACCATCCTGGCTATAAAAAGGAACTCTAGTGGTACAAGCGAGCAATAGTTTTCTTAAAATATTGGGTTGGATTGATGGAGGTGGAATTAAATTTTTATACACCGAATTAATGATAATATCAATAGTTTCGGAGACGGGAACATTAATAAATAAATTCTCTGCGTCAAGTGACGCAAGAATGCCGTGGTTTGTTTTTAATTTTGTACTTTTAAGTATTTGGAGGAATTCATGGGTAGATTTAATGCTATATTTAGTACGGAGATATGGGGTAATAATATCATTGAGAAATTTTGACAGTTGGTATATGCATGTTGGAATCTGAGAAATAATAAGTCGTAATGGATATCCCGGTTTGTGTATTTTAACATTACCGTACCAGGTTGGTAATTTCCAATAATTTTGTTCATTTTTAAGGATCCTGCAACAGCATTGTTAGATGTTATGAGTTTCTTAACATATTTCTTTAGAGATTCAGTGATGTTCTAATTCAAAATAGTAAAATCATCATTATTATCTAATATAACATCGAGGAAAGGGATATTAGTTTTTATAAATTACTTTAAAGCTAATCTTATTTTTTCATCAACATCATGGTCTGGGAAATAACCGTTGAAACGGGTTTGTTTTTTAATTCTCTATAAAAAATGTGACCGAAGAGGAAATAATTGTTTTTGTCACTTCAGTATATAAAAAAACCCTAGTAAAAATGCATGTTTCCTTAATTCTAAAAGCGAATGTCCACACAGATATGAAATTGGTGTTGTAAAAAACATGTTTTATCGTACGAAAATAATTTCCTCTTCAGACAGTTTGTTTTATAGAAAATTACGCATCACACACACATATGTATATATATGTATGTATGTATGTATATAGTCACTGTCATGTATATACAGGGTGACCATAAAGTCTCTTTACAATTTAAAAAAATACTACCAAAGCAAATGAACAGACAAATATGTGTAAATTGATATAAAATAAGGAGTAGATATTGAAATCTTTTTTTAACTAATTTAATACACCTCTATATGGGCACAATTAGTTGCACGGAGCACATCAATACTCGATTTCTTGCAATATTCACAGCAGAATATCCTCATCAATGGTGGCAATGCATCAATGATTTTTTGCTTGAGAACAGTGATGTCCCATATCTTCGTTCGATACACAATATCTTTAATATAACCCCATAGAAAGAAGTCCAATGTGGGTGATAACTGTGGAACGATATGACCAGTGAATTGGACCATCCCTTCCAATCCACCGGTCTGTAAATGTAGAGGTTCATTTAACAATACCACTTTCATCAACAGAATACCTGAAATACACAAATACAATGTGATTAAAAACCTTGATAACTACTTGAACAAATTAATATATCTCATCAGTTGCCTTTGTAATATATCAATGGTCTCGGTTTCATTTCTTATCAAGTTTTCAAAGCATAAAAGTCTTTCGCTTCAAGTGACAGTAACATATATAAAAAAAAATAACAGTGCTTCTTTAAAAAAAAAAAGTTGTTTTAGAAACCACTTGGTGAATAGAATGTAAAGTAACAAAAAATTACACTTAAATACAGCACATATTTGGACAACTTTATTCAAGAAAAAATGCCTCAAAAAAGAAATCATATTTAGGAAGGAAATTTACTCACAAAATATATGGTATTTGGTTCAATTAAAGGCTATATGTACACTATAGTGGCAAAAATGTGGCCTACCTAATGCTTACATTTTAATTTGGTTGATGGAGAAAGTTCATTCCAATCAAATTGATAACATGATTTCTGCTGAACTGTCAGATCAAACTGAACACAGATCACTGTATGAAATGGTGAAAACACACATCTATAGTTCACGTCTATAGTTCAAGTGATACAATGAATAGAAATTCTTCTTGTATGAAAGACAGCATGTATACAAAAATATATCCGAGAGACTTCTTGCAAGTGACACAGAAGAAGAAAACCTGAAGATGGTGGATTTCAAGCAATGGTTGGCAACCAGTATGAAGTTGATAATAGGTGGGTTGTTACCTACTGTCCTTTCCTTCTGAAAATATTTGAAGCTCACATAAAACGTTGAATTTTGCAATTCTGTGAAATCCATCAAGTATGGATGCAAATATGTAAATAAAAGATCAGATGCTGCAATGTTTGTTCTTCAACACCAAAATAATCCAGATGAAATCAATAATTACTAACAAGGTCGATACATCAGTAGGAATGAAACTTTCTGGGTATTCAGTTTCCTTATTCATGAAAGGTATCCAGTGTTCCAACAATTAGCAATAGATCTAGAAAATAGACAAAGAGTTTATTTTACACCTGAATTATCTGCAGCAAAGGCAATGAATACAGGAAAAATAACTTTAACAGCTTTTTCAAACTCTGTTCAAATGATCCATTTGCCAAAATATTATATTACCACGAGGTACCATCATATTACACCTGGAATAAATCGAGTAAGAATTGAACCAGAAGAAAAATCGGATCACTAGGCAATTCAAATATCAGATTTGGTAATATACTTGGTCGTGTATATACAGTGCATTCAAATTATCAGGTATGTTTTTGTTTAAGAATGTTGTTGCATGAAGTTCAACGTCCAGTGTATTTTGAGGACCTTCGGAAAGTTGATGGAATTGTTTACACGATTTACAGAGAAATATGGGATAAAAGCAACTCTTAAGGCCTGTGGAATAAACCTGTCACCAATAAGCAACCTGGCACAGTCTGGAAAAGAATTAATGATCAAAGCCTTCCTAAACAACAATTAAAATTATCAGAATCACAAGTGGTTAAGTGAGAGAGGAATTTTGGCTCCAAAAATATTACTGTGAACTCCATTAACCTTTAACTTTTGAAAATCCTCCTCAGAGAGTATGACTCTTATAAGTCCATTGATACATTTGTAGATCCATCAGAGGTAGTAAATTATCCAGTTGAGTTTCTGAACTCATTAGATCCATCTGTACTACAATCTCACAAATTAGATTTCAAAGTTGGTTCTCAAATAATGATATTAAGAAATCTAGATCCACAAAGACGATTTACTGGAACCAGATTTGTAGTTAAGAAAATGATGGCACATCTTATTGAAGAAACCATTCTGTCAGGATCTGGTAAAGGAGATGTTTTCACCCCAAGAATACCATTGATCCCAACTGATGTAACAATTCCTTTCAAGTGATTGCAGTTTCCAGTGAAACTAAGCTTTGCAATGTTCATCAATAAATCACAAGGTCCTACCGTCTAAGTTGCTAGCATACATTTAGAAGAACCACACTTTTCCCTGGACAACTTTTTGTTGCAAATTCAAGAGTTGGAAGCATCAGGAAAAACAAAAACATTGTTTATAAAGAAGTTCTTTCATGAAGATGTTTCAATGATCATTTTTCTGACCATTTTTTCTTTTCTCATATTAGAATCATTTTAAAAATTGAATTTGAATTGCAGTATTCATATACTTTGCTAAATTATAATAATTTTAGAAGATTAGAAAATTGTATGTGAATTGCTATATTTTTATATTTTTATTTTGTTTGGTTTTTCTTGTTTTCACAATACTGACTTTGAATTTTCGTGTTTACGTATTAGGATGAGAATTTTTTTAAGATAATTAGAATATTATATTGAAACTGTTATGCATTCATGTGTACTATTTTTGTACTAATAAAGAAGTTTATAAAATGCTTATTTTTATGCAATAGGTTATTA